GTCGGCCGCGGGGCCCTGAATAGTAGCCACGGTCGTCCGCATGCCACGAAGTGAAGTGTCCGAACGTCATAGGGCGGGAAGCTGGGTGTGGGTGGTGGCGAAGAGTCGTTTGGAAATTTGGTAGAGCTTGAACCGGCCCCCCCACAAAGTGGGGGTATTGCCCGCCTCCTATGAAAACCCTGGCACTGGTGAGAACGGAGTGTCCCCACGTGCTAGTAATTGTTGTTGTTGTTGTTGTTGTTGTTGTTGTTGTTGTTGTTGTTGTTGTTGTTGTTGTTGTTGTTGTTGTTGTTGTTGTTGTTGTTGCTGTTGTTGTTGTTGTTGTTGTTGCTGTTGTTGTTGTTGTTGTTGTTGTTGAACATTATTTCTTCTTAAGAATAATTATTGTTGGGACCCCTGGTGCACGACCCCCCCGCCGCGCCTAGGCCGCAGCCACATTTTCATCATTTTCGTGAGGAAGTCTCAGGCAAAACGATTAGTACCGGATCCGGTTGTTTTGTTCCCCCCCGTTTTCCCTTGCAAAAAACACTATAAAATGAAAATTCTTGTTCTTACTTGATCAAATTGCAAGAATCCCTTGCAAAAAATAAGGTAAAGTGGACATTCGTGCGCGCAAGACGAAATCCTTCCAAAACCTTAGGTTTCGTAACGATTTTAACATAAAAACATCAAAAACCCAATGGTTTTTTAAGAAAAAATTGTCAAAATGTCCTTCCGCGCGCGCTGTCCGAATCCCACAAAACCAATGGTTTTTCAACATTTATGTTACATGAGCTCGCGCGAGCTACTTTTTCTTGTTCTAACATAATCAAATTTCAATAATCCCTTGCAAAAAATAAGGTAAAGTGGACATTCGCGCGCGCAAGACGAAATCCTTCCAGAACCTTAGGTTTTCGGTTTCACGATTTCAACATAAAAACATCAAAAACCCAATGGTTTTTCAAAAAAAAATGTCCAAATTTCATCCCGCGCGCGCTGTCCGACTCCCACAAAACCAATGGTTTTTCAACATTTATGTTACATGAGCTCGCGCGAGCTACTTTTTCTTGTTCTAACATAATCAAATATTCCCTTGCAAAAAAAAGTAAAGTGGACATTCGCGCGCGCAAGACCAACAAAAAACACGACGATCTCAGGAACTTGCCCCAAAAATGTGACCAACTCCGCTCTCTCTGTCTCTCTCTCTGTCTGCTCTCTGTCTCTCTCTCTGTCTGTCTGTGTCATGTATTGTATGTCACAATTGCAGGATGCTGGGCACACGCGCGCCCCGAATAAGTGACCAAGTTCTGTGGGTGTGTACCCCACGCCAGTGTAGTAGCCACGGTCGTCCGCACGCCACGAAGTGAAGTGTCCCAACGTCATAGGGCGGGAAGCTGGGTTTGGGTGGTCGCGAAGAGTCGTTTGGATATTTGGTAGAGCTTGAACTGCCCCCCCACGAAGTGGGGGTATTGTCTCGCGTCGCATGAAAACCCTGGCGCTGGTGAGAACACTGAGCGTTCGGGTAAAATGATTGTTGTTGTTGTTGTTGTTGTTGTTGTTATTGTTCTTGTTTTTGAATCGCTTCGCTCATTCCGCCGGCCCATTTCGCATGACTGAGCCTCTTGGGGCCGCTGGGGGGCCTCTTCAGCGTCGCTTGGGGGCCTCCTGAGGGCCTCTTGGGGGATTTTGGTGCCTCTCAGGGGCCTCTTGAGGCCTCCTGGGGGCTTCTTAAGGCCGAGGGCTCGAAGTTTTGTTTTGTGTTCCCCCTTTGGGGCATCGCTTGGGGCCCTCTTGGGCCCCTCTTGGGCCGTCTTGGATGCCTCTGGGGCCGTCTTGGAGCCCTCTTGGGCCATCTTGGGGCCTTCTTGGGAGCTTCTTGGGCCCTCTTGGGGCGATCTTGGGGGCCTCTTGGGCCGTCTTGGGGCGTCGGGAAGCCGAAAAGATGGACACGCCAAAATCTGCCCAAAACCTAAGGAAAAGTAATGAATTTTGCCTCTTGGGGCCCTCTGGGGAGTGCTCTTGGAGGCCTCTTGGGGCGTCTGGGGGCCATCTTGGGCGTCTTGGAACGATCGTGTGGCATCTCGGAGCACTCTTGAACCATCTTGGAGGGCTCTTGGCGGCCTCGTGGCCCTTCTTGGGGCTCTCTGGAGGGCCACGGGGGCGGCGCCCAGGAGGAAAACCATCTCTGACCCGAGTCTGCCGGGGATCGCCCGGGGTACTTTTCGTCCGGGGACCCCCAGGGGCCGCCCCGCGCGCGCGAAGTAGAAGTACTATTTAGCAGTTACCGGAGATCTTAGCACGCCTCTGGCCCGTTGGGCCGGCGAATTGTTGCTGCTGCTGTTGTTGTTGCTGCTGTTCTTGTTGTGTCTGGCGTTGCTACCCCCCAAAGGCTGCATACGCATGTGACTCGACGGGGTATGCGTGCGAGACATGAGAGTCGGCGTGCAAAGCGAGGTTGAGGTGCTGTGTGATGAGTGGCAGCAAGCCGTGCAGCTGCCGCACCCAAATCGCGTCACGACTTCCCGCAGGCCAGAATCTTTGGGGCTATCGATTATCATCATCCCACGGATCCTGCATTAATAGTGATTTTCGTATGAATCTGACATTAATGAAGCAACATCGTGCCGCTACGAAAGTTGGTCAACATCCAGCAACCCCCGTTAAGCAGGGGGGCCTTGGTACAATGTTGACAGGGCTACCGCGCCGCGAACGAAAACTGTGACTTCGCAGCGTTCCGCTAGGCCCCAGGGCACCAGCGCAATGTTGCCAGGGTTTCGACCTCGGTGGAAATAGTTTTCTTGAAGAAGTTCCAATCAAAATCGCCGTGTCGAGTTCGAACCGGCAAGTCTCGACCTCAGTAGTTTTCAGTTGTTATCCCAAGCCATATTCATGCTCTCGACTTTCTGGGCAAGTGGTTTACATTTTTTCATGGCAAACAGATGGTCCTGGTCATAGCGACGATTCCACCTGAGTCTTCTTTGGGACCTCAAAGCATATGTCGATCATGTTCGGTTCGATTACGCCTGGGACTTCTTCAGAAAGATACCCGATCAACCCTGCAATCCCCACTCCTTCCATCTCCTCTCCACTCGTCCCCACTCTTCGGTGATCGTAGACGTTGCGGTGTTCATGCAAGTCTTTGCTCGTGAGCTGCGCGAGCTGCAAGTCCAGTGACAACTTTTGTAGCACAAGTGTATCACCGAGGCAGCTGCCATGTGCCCTTGTGCTTACCCGTGCAGCACTCCCGCTGATGTTGATGCCGGACATGGGCTCAAGCAGAAGTCATGGTTGTGCATCTGGGGTGCAGTGGTTTCCGCAGTTCAAGCTGCCTCGCTGCACAGTGGGCATGCACGTTGGGAATCAGTCCGGTACTGGTGATTGGATGTCCGAATGGCAGCGTCAGGGTGCTGGCCACGACTGCCAGCTCATCAGGGGAAACGTGAGCCACGCTGCATTGTGCCGTGGAGTTCGTAGCCATTCGCACTGTGTTGTTCTTCTCCTCTTTCCGAGCCTGGGTGTGTTCGCTCATGTCCTGCTCCCTGTCCCGTGCGTCTGCCTACCTGCAATAACAACGCCGAGGCAGTGCCAGTTTCAAGGTTTTCTCAAAAAGAACCCGCCACCGTCTGGCATGGGGTGTGAATGAGATTTAAGTAAGGCTGGACGGGGGCACCGACAGGTAAGCCCGCACGCGTACCTGCGGTGAATGGCGCGAGTCCGCCTGGCGATTGTAAGATCGGACCAGTTTGCTTCTACAGACGACACCTCGCGTGCCCCCGCCAGCCCATCCAGAAACCACGTCCAGGAGATCTGCCTTGATCTAGGAGGGAGGCGTGGGAGCAAGCAGCGGAACAGAGAAAGCGACAGCCAGTCAGACCGAAGTTCGGGATCAGCCCTGATCGGACAGAAGTGGCCAATCACAAATTCCTCGGTGGGTCCTTCGGTGTGGGCCAGTGCGCGCCCTGGGACGGCCAGGGGGGGGGCGGGCGCGGGCGCCCACCGGAGGCCGGTCTCTCTCTTTGGGGGGCGCGGGAGCACGAATCGGGCGCCTCCGGGAGCCCCCTTTGGGCGCGGCTCTCTCGGGGCTCTGTTGGGCAATTTCGGGGGCCCAGAAGTCCATCGGAAGCGGGAAGGCGAGAAGGCCATACTCATCGGAAATAGCGGATGCACTTCGAATGATTCGGCCCACTCAAGGATCCTGGCGGTTCTACGAGGCCACCAGGTCCGTTAGGGGCCTCTTGGAGGCATGCTGGAGGCCATCTTGAGCCATCTTGGAAACCAGCTTAGGATATCTGGGGCCGCCTCGTTACCATTTTGCCTAACCGCTGCTTCGTAGCCATCTTTGCCCAAGCCTTCTAGGGATGCACCCGTACGGCCAAACTCTCAAGGGTCTCCAAGGATTCCGCTCATCAGAGAGGGCGGCCGCACCGACGAAGCCCTTGGTGGAGCATGAAGCATCTCCTCTTCGAGCCCTCCTCGGGCGGGGGGCCTTCGGGGCCTCAGAGATGGTGTGGGATGGCCTCCCAGACGGCCCGCGACGCCCTCAACACGTTCCAGGCGATCAGACAAGACGAGACGAGACCAGACAAGCTGGGATGAGACAACGTAAGAGTAGCCAATACCTGACCAGACATGCCACGACATTCCCCACATCGGTCTAAGATGCCCCCAAGACGCCCAAGAGTGTCCCCGAGAGCCAACATCTCTCAACCACAGGATGAGCATCAGTGCTCTTTGCCTTCTCGTCTTTTTGCTTTCGAGGGGCTCTCAAGGCATCACGATGGCTGCAAGGAGCCCCAATTGTGGCCTCAAGTCCAAGATGCCCGGAAGCTGGGCATCGCCGAGTCTTTCGAGGATGGGACGGGTACTAGTACCGACGTGTTTGGTGAAGCACCCTTCCGCTGGCGATTTTAGAGTGCTCAGGAGCTGTAGATCGCCGGAGGTTCAAAAGGGCTCGTCGGCAGAAAGTGCCTGACCTTGATGTAAACTGTGCCGTGGTTCTGTTCCTGTCTCTTGTCCATGAGGGCGTGCAGTGCGTCTTCAAGCACGAGACGGACCTGAATGACGGGAGCATCAAAGTGGAGGAGGCTCCTTGCGCGGCTTGTTTAATTGCTTGCGGTCAGTGCAGCGTTCATGCTCGGGCCTCGACGAGCAAATGTACCAATGTGCTGCCGCTGAGCTTCTGAGCAACATGTTTTCGATGTCGTCTGTTGAACTAAGTTTTGCTAGACTCGTTTGCACAGCTTGCCTTTTCTGATACATTGCTGCTTTTGAGGGGTATGACCGCCATCACGGACCTTCACCCCTGTGTACGGGGGCAGCTGCAAGTTTGTCTCCTACGATTTGGTTGGGCGCGCTAGCGGTGGTGCCTTCTGTTGTTGTTCACTTGATCTGCTGAGAATGTGATGCGTCTGGACAGTAAGGCGGCAACAACTAGTTCGCACGCCGATGCAATCTTAGAACAATCACATCTGTGGGCGATGGGCAGCTGCGCTATCCTTGTAGGGCAGGGGAACCTGCTGTGTACGGACATGTGCGCGTGCGCCCGTTGACGTACATCTGCGTAAGCGGTGCAGCCTATGTGAAACTGATCGTGTGTGTGTGTGTGTGTGTGTGTGTGCGTGTTCGTCTACACTCCCGCCTGGAGGCGCTTTCTCCAATTGGCCAGATGATCTGTTGGCGCCCGCATAAGTTTCTCGAAGTTGAGAAGATTGTTCTTTTTTCTGGGCCACACGCTGTCGCCATCGGAATGATGTCGGAGTCGTTTTCAGGCAGATTGCGCCCGCTCTTGGAGCCACCATGACCACCCAAGTGAAGCAAGTCAACGTTTTCTCCAGATGCTGCGTGCTCTGATGTGACAGCGGGAGGGTTACGCATATGATGTTTTCTAATCTCAGTTCCTGTTGCTCTTACCCCGCTGCCTCGCCCAGGTGCTTCGGCATTGGGTTGCCTTGCCAGCATTGTGATTGCGAGTGCTTGACTGTGATCAGCTGCAGCAGAGAAATAAATAGGTTGGGGCCTGTCGGTGTCAAGTGGAACTCGTCATACGTCTACATGTAGCTAGGGGCTGTTTTAGATGTCGGTGGTGAAAGGGGTGTATTGATCGAGAGCCTTGGGCGCACGAGCAAGGGTCTCTGCCAAACCATTCTCTCAGCAGCGAGTGCTGAGGGTCCTTGGTTCTGGAAGGGTGTCCAGTGGACTCTTGACTCCCCGGTTCGTCGGCCCCGCGGGACTTGCCTGCCGTGGGTCGGGGACGGAAAAGAGGGGGGTGATTACTAGGGGGGGCATGGCGCCGCTTCTTATTTCATTATGTCCCTGGCCCCCCCGCTGGGCCGCGCACATGCCGCCGGTCATGATTTACACCCCTCCCTCTTGGACACCCCCTTCTTTGCCGCCCCCGAGTGGGGCACGGCTTCACGAGGCCTGTTGGCCCCGTGGCCCCGTCAGCGGCTGGCTCCGCATGCCGCTGGCCCCGGGTCCCGCTGGCCCGGTGGCCCTGCGGCCGCGCGGTGGAGGAGTGCCTCAGATCGGAGTCGTGTGCGTGCGTCTCAATGTGGAAGGCGGGATTTGGATGGTGTGTCCTCGTCGAGTTGATTCTGGGTCCTCACGTCGCGCCCCCCTCCCGCCCCTCCCCGCGCGTTTCTACTACTGCCCCCCCTGTTCCTCCTTCCGACTTGAC